CCTTTTCAGACGCTAAGGAAACGGATTAGGTGTCTCGATTAAACAATGCAATTGTTTTTTTTTCGTAAATTTGTTAAACAATGGAAACGGATAAATTCGAGGAAAACGCGACGAGAGAGAGGAATCATATTCAGTCGCAACGTTGACCTCTCCCGCGCCCTTCATTAGGTTTCGAATTGTCACCAGGTGACAATGAGAGACCAATGGAGAGGCGACTATGGTTAAGAAATTTATAAAACCGTGCGACTCAAGGGACAAAGGTTCTTGGTGCTTGGATACGTAGTGATTCTTCTCCTGGACGTGCGTGCTCCCGATCTTTGAAAAAAAAGAACATTTTCGAACATCGTGGAAGCATCGTTCTCTGGGTGCCATTTAGCGATCTACAGATTCGTCAGTTCGTCCAACGAGAAGCCGCCGGAAGCCGTGATCAACGCCCCGGGGATTACGGAGTATTTCACCGACAGCGTCCATCCACAAGTAACGAAAACAGAATTTTTCGAACTTTATTTCGAACTTTATCCGCGCGCTTTGTGGTGCCACTTCGTTTATCAAGGTATTTGTAAGGAAAACTTCCATGTTTAATAAACGGTTTCATATGGTAAACCTGTCTCAGAGAGTCATTCTGCGTCCACACGACAGAACGGACCGCTCGGCTGTCGAAAAACCTCATCCTAATCGGCTGACCTCACAAATACAGCTAATAAGGACCTGTTGTTTTTGATTTGATACATCTAGATAACTGCTGCAATTGAATCAACACTGTGATTAAAGGTGCAAAAACAGATATTCAATAATATCACGGAAGCATTTTTATTAATATACTAGCTGTTACCCACGACTTCGCCCGCGTGGATTTAGCATGCAAACGCCATTTATATTCAGTATTTCAACAACCATAGTAATTGTTATATAACACCTACAGCTGAGAATGATGAGAATTGTTGAGAATCAACCGAACTGTTTTCAATTTGATAAATTTTCTAGAACGTTCACAATCGTTGTTTAATCGAACCAATATGCAATAACAAATTCGAATTTAAAACAGTTCGAAAATTTGGTTAAAAATCGAAATGTGTAAAAATATTTATAACAATGTCTGAAATGTTATCAATTTAATACATCTAAGTACTCAATAAAGACGAAACGTAGTTGAAAATCGCATCTAAACTAGTAGAGTAGAAGCCACTCTTCAGGTTAAGCCTTAATCCTATCCCTCTCCCCCGCAGGGAGAATTTAGAAAAATCCCTTCCTGCGTTTTCATGACGTACCCTAAATGTGTATCAAATTTTATCTCTTTAGGTTCAGCGATTTGCTCTGGGCGATGATGAATTAATCACTCAGTCAGTCAGTCAGTCAGTCAGGACAAGTAATTTTATATATCCAATTAATATTTTGGGATGGGATTAAGACATTATCTAAGTATCAGAGCAATTGTTAAAACGGTCTAGGAGTGCATAGTGACCACACGAACAGACATTCTCATTTATATCAATAGGTATAAATGAATGGTACCGGCTCACTCTTTTCCAAAAATAAATAATATTCACATAGCTTATTTTATAAGTTAGACCGACATTATTTGATGATCCGAAGAAAATTATCAGACAATTTTGCTTGTCATTAGGCTTGAAAAAGTTTAATGATATGCCTAGGAAGTGCTTCCAGAAAGTGACATCTGGCCTCTGGCTCTGTTAAAATTATAATCTTAAGACCATGGGTTTATGTTGACCAAATCTTTTTAATTTTCACAATGTGCTGTTGAACGCTTAGGTAAATTAGTTAAATAATTACTTAAGGAATAAAGATGTTTGTTGCCTTAAAAATTTTTTTGCATTCGAGATGAAGAATTACTGTTTAACGTTCTTCACACTTAATTAAGAAGTAAAGGATTGTTTAAATATTAATATTAAATAGAATTTTAATAAAAGTCGTGTTATAGTATACAAAACAAAAATCTACTAATCATTCAAAGAAATGTATTTAATTGATGAATATTAAAAATTTTAAACATATTTTTAAGTGATTAGAGACAAAATGAGGAAAATCAGTAACAAACTATGAAATAATGTATTTTGTATGAACTTTCATTAAAACAGCAGTGACAAAGCAGACAAAACCGGTGTAAACAATCACCGAATTAATCATCCTAAATGTAAAATTTAAGTGATCATAAATTTTACAACATACATTAGATGTTCGCTAATCCAGACTAACGGGTCCCTATTGTGCAGAGTTACTGAACAATTTTGTAGTTACAAAATTCGGTAAGTTGTCTGTGATATAAATGTTACAGACATTGCCGTGCATTTATTGCCAGGGCACACTCCTGTATGATTCAAATATCATTTTAGTCTGTAGAATTTGAAAAGACTAAAATAAAATTTCATTTTATTCCATAAAATTTCTATGGATTACTATGGATTATTTGCTCATCTTTAAGCTTATTGAAAACGTTTTATTTTATCTTTCGAATTACTCCTGATGGTTTTTTCAGCAGTTTTAATTAGGCCTAATTGTTTATCCTGTACACAATAATAAAACGTTTCATTTTTAATATTAAATAATTAATAATATATGAATCAGAAAATATCAGTTTTCAATTACTTTCCCGTGAAAAATGTCTTCTTTCGATTTTCCATCATTTTTGTTATTATTTGTTACCGGCATTTTTAAAGTTATCAACAATACCATGTAACAATAAAATTAAACTAAACAAAGAAATGTGTTACTCATTGTTATGATTGTTTTGTAAATTTACTCTCAAATTGTCCCGAAAATTACAGGTTTCATTATCGATTCGTGTGCGGTCTCACAAGGTAAGATTTGAAAAACAATTACTTCAAAGTTTTTGTCCCAAATTTGCAAGATTTGACAAATAATGCTCAACGACCTTGTTCGAACACTTGATGCTGTTTGCTACTGCCTGGTGACTTAAACCAGTGCTTCTAAAAGCTAGAATTTGTCCTTTCTCAAAGTCTGTTAAATGAATTCCGCGAGGCATAATTGAAAAAAACATACACTTACACATACTACTTTTACACTTTGAACTGACGAGAAATGAGGCGGTTCTATACTTATGTGGCAGTATATAGATATACTTCATCGCTATTCCGCAGTCAGCCACGAATTAGAAGCTCAAATTTCCTAAAATACGTTTTTATAATTACGTGCTGAATTACACATAATAGATTTTAATATAAATAGATTTATACACGTAAAAATGTTTTTCAATCTATTAGTGCATGTTCTAACCTCAAAAAATTGTTTTTTTTTTCAGCGGTTCTTGTGGAACACCTTACTTACAAGAAGCAACCTTCTGATAAATACTGTTGCAAATTACTAGAAATCAGCATTTCCAGCAGAGCAATTTTTGTCTCTCAGTTTAAATCATCAGTTAAGTCTGAATTGACTTAACTGATGATTTAAATAACATAATTTAAATAATTCACTAAGATGATAATTTGATAAGTATAATCATCTTAGTATAAACAGATAGAAAAAAAGTATATAGATAAACAGCTGTAACAGCTATATTTATTTCGCTTTATTGTATCATTGTGAACGTTTGTGTTTTTAAATTTAGAAAGTTTGTATGAAAAATGTTTAAAATTTTGCATATTCTTTTCTTTGTCTTTTGTAGCTTTGTCTAAAAAGTACAAAGAAATTTTTCAAGGAAACCGCCATCCGGAAAAACTTACCATACAAAACATCGGAAAAACCGTCCTATATTTAAGGGTTACACATGAAAATGAAACTGGCAGCTACCAGAACTATTGGTTCCAAATGTCAGCGTTCAGGGATTTTATGTGATCGGCGGCTTTTACCAGTTAACTGAATTCTGAAAAAGTTGTTAGATATGAACTGTACTTGCAATACATCCAGAAAATATTTAAATCATTATACGATTATAAGGATGTAAAGAAATAACGTTTAGTTTCCTGTCAAGACATGTTTTTATATGAGCAAGAATATGTTAAATAAAATTTGAAGACTATAAAAAAAAATTTGGAAACAGATTCCTGACAGAACAGAGAACAGAAATTATTAGAATTTTTTTACGTCTAAAAATGCGTTGTGACTGGATTAATGGCACCGTTAGGCATCAAGTCGTTGCGTTTTATTATCAGCGATCACAGCAGTGAAAGCAAGTGTATACAGTTGTGTAGTTAAACAGATCTGTGATTTAAATGTGTAGCGTATTACAATTACTCGTCACACGATATTTATCCTGTTCATATATATTCAATTATCAGTTAAATATTAAGCTTCTTTTTTTCATTGTTGTTATTGTAAATATGAATAATAACGAAAATCTGTTAGTGATACTTACTTGAACATTGTTTTTCTATTTTAGTATTTACAATCACTGTAAAATAAGTTAGTTTTTTAAAAGAAAGTTCTTATAAGGACAGTGTAATGAGAAACATGATGTATTATTTGTTTAAGATTACATACTATCTAGTATAACACTTCTAAAATTTTATCGTTTGATTGAAGTTCATATAATTTCCAATAACATTAGCATATAGCTCGTAATGACTTGATATTAGTAAGGAATTTAAAATTGATAAGGGCAAAATACGCAGCTATTAATATACCAATCAATGCATTAAAATATCACTAAAATGACAGATTCTTTAAAAATACTCATCAAAAGATTGGAATACTTTTAAGAATGTAAGTCTAATAACTTACCCTGATATATAAAAGTACATAAAAGCCACTTAAGATATAATTTTCTGTTGTTATAACTAATTATATTTACAATGGTTTGTTGGATTATTGATAACTTTAAATAGAAAGTTTATAGCCAATAGCCAATAAATTGATTTTATTCACTATGTCATTAAATTTTAATTTGAAATACACCATTATTGTTATTATTAATGGCACTATAAAATTTTCAGAGATAATGACTTTACGTAACCAGTATTTCTAAGAACAGTTTCATTCTGTTCTGTAAAGCTTAGACACGAATACAGACTGAGCATGAGTTTCAATTTACAAGAGGTATGTCTGAGCTGTTTCATCAGCCCTTGTTCGACAACTGCTCTTATATTTGGGTTGGACGCATTTGAAACTTGTAACTGTAAATGCACAAAGAAAAACAAAAAAATTCAAAATAACAAATTAAAGAATATGTATATACGATTTATCGAACTGAATTTACGCGGATTTACAAGTCTTGTTATATGGCAAATGATCCCAGTAGTCAATGAATACGCGATATGCATTGGTTGGTATGACGTATTCGAAATAAATTCCATGTTATTTAAAATAGTGTTTTCTGCTATATTTATCATTTATTGTATTGCATTCGAATTCATCAAACGCAACAAATTCAACTTGAAAAAGCCATTAAGGAATAAATACTTTCGAGTAAAAATGATTAACGAAAATAACATCTTATTGCAATATGTTACTCTGCTCATTTCCTTCGTTATAATAGTAGCCATTGATTTGTATCAAATTACAGTTACTGTATTTTTCTACACTTACATAGAAATGAAGCAAAAATTTAATGGGGAAGCTCTCTTCTGTAGTACATTCGCCTCTTTAAATACAAGTTTTTTTATTGGTGGATTCGGTTACATCTTATTTTTAGTGGCATTGTTAGTGCTGATCTCGCATAAGGAATTTGAGCAATTGTCGATGGAGCTGTTTTCAATAAAAAGAATCGATTATGATATACGAGAGAAGCTAAACGAATTAATGATGCATCATGAAGAACTTTGGATTTTCGTGCAACAGTTCAAATCTAAATATAATTTTGTATTTGGATTTGTTTACTTTGGAATCGTTTGGGTTACAAGTTTTTCATATTATGCGTTTTTGTTCTTAGAACTTCATTATTTCATTAAATTGTTGATACTCCTATTGATGATACTATTCACTTGCTTTAGCATTATCTTTGGCTGTCTGCTGTGCTTGTTAGCATTTACGGTAATTACACTCTATATGAACTATTGGCATATGCTTTAGATAGTTTATAGTTGCTTTCTTTTGTAGATGGAAAATACATTTCAAGATATCAGACAATTTGCAGGATGTGACATTGCAGAGAATCAAAAGCTAAAGGTATGAAGTTTAAATTGCATTTAAACAAATATTTTCTTAATATCGACAATAATTTCAGATTTTGAACTTCATGAAAAGATTTGGAAAAGTCTCTCTCTGTCTCACAATTGGTAGATTTTTGATTATTGACAAGAGAATTCCCCTAAAGGTTTTATTGTTTTCTTAATTAATTTCGTTTCTGTACCTGGAAATAAATTGAGTTAAAATTAATTTTTCAGATGGCAAAAACGTTGCATTCAGTTTTCTCTGGTTTCAAAAAGCTAAAAAGCATTTCGAAGGAAGAACAAAACTGTTTACAGATTTATAAAATTAATTTTACAGAAACGAATTAAACAAAGAAAAATCATCAAAAATGTGTAGTTTCTATTAAAACGTTTTTCTTGGCAATTATTATGCTCATTAAATGTATTTTATAGACGACTATAAATAAAGCATTATACTTTACTATTGCTTAAATCATTTCTTTCGAAAATATCGGTAAAAAAGTCGCTATTATCTTAGCATTTGATTTTGAAATTACGCTTTCAAATTTATTTTTGCGGTGAGCCAGTGGAAGTTATAATGGATACACTTGCCTTACTTTTAAAATAGTGCAGATAGTTTATTTATGAAGTTGTCAAAATTAGTTAGAAATGTCAAGTGTATGACGTAAGATTTTTTTCTCTACAATTATTATATATAAAGGAAAATATGTATAAATACAAATATTACTAAAAAAATATAGAAATATAACAATAAAACAATAGTAACTGTTATATTGTTAATAATACTAACAGTAATTTATTAACATTATAGAAGATTTTTTACGAACGTGTTTATAACAGAGTTTAAATCGAGAGTGTTTACGAGTCAGTCTAAGATATTAAAGTATAATTCTTAAAATGTATTTATACACGTACAGATATAGTAACAGAATATAACAGTAACTTATCATGTTACGAAAACACACAAAAAGTATGGTGTAATTTCTTGGCAGTATAATATAGTAACAACTCTTTCTGAAACAGATAGTTCAGAACTCTACAGTGTTATTTATAAAGTGTATAAAAGCAGTGAAATCTGGTCGAGAGTTCGCACCTTACCGACAAGCTGGCCACATGGAGTTATTATAGAATTAGCATCCCTACGAAAATCGTTTCTTTACACACTCTTCTTGGGAAAACGATAGATGTCGAACCACGAAACCTTCACTGTAACAGAAATTTAAATCATAAATGTATTTTAAACTGCAATGATATTTGAACGATTTTAACTGTAAATACATAATTTTAAACGAGAAAAAAATACATGTAGCAACGAAATCTAAAGAAATTACGGGTGTAATGCTGACAGTCTTGTATCGGCCTATGGAAGATTAATAAAGCTGATGTAAAAATGCCTTGTTTTTATTTATGCACTTATTAGTGAAGAAAAAAGCAAAAGATAAAATAAAATAAAATAAAATCTCCATGTTATTTGTTGTCGTATCTTAAGATTCCGTAAATTCGTACTGTAAGAAAACTATGATAAAAATTTGATAGATATTAAAGTTATGTAAATAAATATTTTTTGAACTGACACAATACCTACTTCGTATTCTTTTAATAGAAATATTATAGCTGCTATTGTCTTTTCTTAGAGAAGACATTTTGGGTACGAAACAACTAAACAGTTATAACAACCAACTTGTTCATATACTGTAGTTATGTATATTACTGTACATTAAAACACTATTTTAAACATTTGTGAGGAACCCGGTTCGATAAAGTTGAACCATCGAACGTTTAACGGCTGTAGGTTAGTATAACTTATTCTCTAAGGATGGTGATGTTCAGTATTTTAATTGTTGTTCCTGACATCACCTAAGATAAAACTTTCGCTTCTTACCTTGCGATAGTAAATTACTTTTCGAGTCGGAGAAACTTAGATTTTTTGGTAAAGCATTCGGCATATATATAATACAAAACGAGACTAATTTTAAATGAAACAAATCAAAATTTAATACAAATAAAAGTGAATACATATTTCTACTTATTATGTAAATAATAATATTTAAAATTCTAATATTTTAAAGAGAGAGAGAAAAAGAGCTTACAATTTACATATTATTTTACCTCTTTATTAATGTCTTGACATGGAAAAATTTAGTCGACTCGTTGATCGAGGTGTTAGTTGAGGAGTTAATTTGTTCCTTTGTTCTTTATACAGAAGTTATTACGCTAGGGAGCTCTGGCACAAAGTTAATGAATAGGCAGGAATGACTGAGACTGCCCGAAAAATAGCGTGAAAAGGGTTTTTATACCAAACTATTCTCCAATAGGGAGATAAACATTTGTCATCTGACCAAGATAAAGTTAGGTCGAAAATTAGTCGGAGGATATGACAAATTTTCTGAAGTAAATAACCTCGTGAGAAAGAAAGTTGAATTTTCTTGCGTTCTGTTAAAAGTTAGAAAAATGTACACTTTGTTGTACAAAATATTATCTTGGTTTTGTATAAATTTTGTAGAATAAAATTAAGTTAATATTCAGATTTTCAAACATTTATACATATCAATTTATATTAAATATAATATATTATTATATATATAGTGAAGCCTTTTTATTTTGCATACCTCGGTCGCATTAGAATGTGTCCAAGATATAAAATAAATAATTTTTGTGTTTAAGCAAAGAAACTAATCCAGATTCGTAGGCATAGTGTAACTCAGTGTTTTTCAACGGGGGCGATATCGCTCCCATGTGGGCATTTTTTTATGTTGAGGATGCGACTAGTAACAATTTGTATTTTGGGGGGCGATTTTCTGGGCGATGTATTAAGAATAATTATATATTTTATTCGTTATATCGTACAATAATTAAACGAATAACATTATACTTCTCACTAGTCTATTCACTGCAGTACGAATTTGGTATCAGCTTTGGCTTGCGGTATCTTAGTTTTGAAGTGAAGGGGGCGATACTACGTTAAAGGGGGCAACGATTCGATAGACTGTATCTTATTTTTATGTTATACTGTAACAGTTTTATTATCTATATGAAAAATATGTATGTGGTGTGTAAATAACATTTCAAATTTATTCATTTTTCTTTACGTACTGTAGGGTATTATCATTTAAACACGATCATTAGAACATTAATTTACTTTTCTTTCATTATTAGATTTTGTAAGCATAATCCGTTTATAAATCACTATAATGTAGTTTGGAGTAGATATAATGGAAACGCAACACATTAACTATCTTTTTAGGGCAACTGTGTTTCCTGGGAAGACATTCTATAAAAAACCGGCTTCTATTTAAATGTTAGACACGTAGAAAAGACTAAAAAACACCCACGTGGCAGCGCATTGGTAAAAAGAGATTCCGTGAACAGTTGGTCCAATCTTCAGTAATTTTACCTATACAGCCACTAGTATATAGTCACACAAAGGAACATACGCTGTCAAAGAACACTCTTAGAGAACGTGCAACTGAATTCGGACAGTTCGACCAATCAAATTATTAATTGAAAATGGTTAGTTCTGAATATATTAGAATTTCTTCCTCATTATGCAGCTGCCCCATTGTCATCCTCGCTGAATTGATAAAAGCGATAAAAAAACGTCTTTTTCTAATTCAAGGGCAAAACTATTGTATAGAATATACAATCAACGACTGATACAGATCAAAAAATACAGTCAGTCAGTCAGTCAGTCAATGTATTTTATTGGTACTAAAGTACATGCCCTGGCCCCGCAAGAAGCATTACCAGGGCTTGAAAACAATAGGTATGATTACAATGAACAATAACTACAATTGAAGAGTTTGTACAAAAGATTCTAAGAGTGAGCAAGAAAATATAGGGTAAACCTACATAAAACGTCCGAAAAGAACGCCACACACAGTTCGCGTGTAGTGTACAAAATATAAAAAATGCATATTTAAACGTCCGAAAGGGACGCCACACATAGTTATCAAAAAATACATTAAAACGTAGATCAGATTTAAAACAACGAGAGTTAATTAGTGTGAAATTTTATTTACCCATCATAAATTTTAGACACGAAAATGGCCGCTGATGTATTCAATTTCAAAGAAATTGTCAACTATGGCAATTTTTGTAATTATGAAAAAATCATGCCTGGGTGTGTTGATAATCAATAATATAGTAAATCTCTACAAATGTTTCCATATCAGCTTTTAACTGACGAAAACATATTGGCTATTGTGTACGATGAATCAAAACATACGTTCGACACAATTTCTCAAGATGTACAACTTAAATCACAAAAATGTGCCGAAAATTAAAAGTAGACAAATACACCTAACAATATTTTAAATGTATAAAATAGTGTATCATGCACATGCAAAATGTGTTGTTTTGTTTGGTTCCAAGTGACAATATTTTAGATATGGAAATATCTAAGATATCGGAATGACCAATTACTAATGTGAGCCGCCGGGGCGGTTGCATATTCCTCTCCTAGCCGGCCACAGGTCAGTGACCTACTTTCTTGTCAAGGATGGCGTTTAAGTTCTGTTACGCGTTATGCGAGTAAAGGAGAGTCAGAGGGGTCGACGATAAGACAATGGTACAGTCGAATATAAACACCATTTTAAACAAAACAAGAGTTTGTTTAATTAACGTACGAAATAAAAATTACAAAACTCCTTTTAATTCGCGTATGAGAGACAGAGAGCTTACAATAATATTCCATACTTCGGGGGAAGTATCGGATGTATATTTCTTCTCTGATCGTTCCGAAAAGTGGTGCGAGGTGAGGCACAGGAGTTTCAATTGAAGTCTTACAGCAATGAAGGTGAAGAGGATGTCTGCCGTTCTCTGTCCAATTGGCGACTCCCTTGAGAGGGGAAGGAGGATGGCTTTTATACATTTTGTGGTGGGAAAATTCGTCAGGTGACCAATTGTTTTTGCAGGTGTGGGGTTAAAGTTGGTGTTAGAACGACAACAATATGACGAATTTTGCCGATAATCGTAAAGTGTACACGGTTTGATCGTGATAATGTTTATAGCTTTATAGAAAGAGTTATAAATTTCTCATGTACTGTACTTCATATTTCGTTCCTGTAGGGTCAAATTCCTTTGGTTAAAGGAATTTTTATTTACATTTATTAAAAATTCAAAGAACTACTTTCTTTTATAAAATTTTATGAACTTCGAGTTTCACACTACAATTTGTATAATATTTTATAATATTGCACTATATATATATAAATGGACATGTATGTCCCTATATTTCACTTTTCCGCAAAAACTACACATCGCACGTGAATGGTGTTTGTATATGGTGGTAGCCCCAAGTCTCCATTCGTGCATAAGGGTGGTTGGGTCTCGATAGATATAAGGGTGCGGGAGATATGAAGCTGAAAGTGGCTTTCTATTTCGAATGTTTTGTTCTAATTTGTTCTAATTTAATTCGAACATAAAAT